CCCCAACTTCGGACACACGCTGCTCACTCAGATAAATTGCAACTGCTTCAGGGACACAGTTTTTAAATTCTTCCAAAAGTAACAACTCACAAAGTTGCTCTTTAGTTTCAACTTTTTGAGATGTGCACCACCTATTGAAAAGAATTTCCTTATCTCTGGCAAATTCTGCAAAGGTCTCATTTTCAACTTTACGACAACCTCGAAACCGCTGCCTATAGGCCTCTGGGACCAGCTCATAGGCCCGCAAGATGGCTGCTCTAACAATTTCATAGTCAGCGCTATGGGTGAGTGTTAACGAAGAGTAGACCTCTTGTGCTTTACCTGTTAAGACACACTGCAGCAACAGTGTCCATGCATCTTTAGGCCATTCAAATGTGGTGGCTACACGCTCAAAATAGGAAAAGTATCTGTCCACCTCCTTCTCAGAGAAATGAGGAACTAAACTAATGTTCCTCCCAACATCGAACCGAGGAGAAACAGTAGATTTAGGAGAACTGGCACTCTGAGACTGCTTCTCAACTGACCTCAGCTCTAATTCCTTCATTTTCGCCTCATGTTCCATCCGCAACCTCTCCATTTCCAACTTCCTTCCCTCTTCTCTATCTTTTGCCTCAATTTCTAACTGTTTGATTTTAAACTGCAACTCCAACTCTTGCAAACGTACAGATTGAACATCCTGAGTTTGCAACTGCGCAGCTTCCGTCTTACTAGCAGACACCTTAACAGGGTGACTTAAGTCTGAATCTTCAGACTCACTTACAAGCACTCCCTGCTTAGCAAGAGCAGTGACTATTCTGGCTCTCAGCTCATCCTTCTTAAGAGAAGTTGATGCAGTTTCAATGCTGTACTGCTCCGCAATGGACATGAGCTGTGCCTTGTTGCAATGAGAAAGCTGCTCTGCTGTAGGAACTTCTCTAAATCTTTCTAGGTCGAACTCCATAATGAAATTGCCACAATAACCTTATGCAAAGATGAAGTACCACTGAAAGGCCCAACCCAGTGCAACAAAAAAAACTAACAAAAAAAACAACCCTACCACACAGAACCAAAACGTAATATAACAAAAAGCGCAGCTAATGTCACCGTCGGACTACACAAAGCCAGAAGTAAGCACTCAGAGCTTACAAAGCACACACTAGGCTAAACCGTAACAGTTACTCCACAACTATTTCTTGCCACACAGTATAGAAATAGTATTACTACTGCCACTCTTACATGAGTGATACATACAACACCACTCATGCACCAAAATCAACTGCTCTTCTCCACTGAGAAGAAAGTGGATCACAAGTGTAAATGCTGCAAAAAAGACATGTGACTAAACAAACAAAACCCACACATACATGCATGAGCATCAGGGTCACAGGACAAGACCACCACAACAGCCTAGCATTTGACTAAATCCTCCACGCAAAAAGAAAGAAAATTGCTCCAACTCCCCACACTCACCCTACATAGTGTGTGTGAAAAACAAAGGCCAGCACATGTCACCACATGCTATGTCTAGCATAGAAGTTAGTGTTCTTAACTAACCTACTCTAGAGCTTACCTGGTTCCCTCTCTATCTAAGACTGTTAACTCTAACTTACTAGGACTCAACTAGTCTTTGTCGGCTTTCCTGGGCACGCCGGGGGCCACCCCAGGGTTACCGCTCCAAAACAATAAAATGGTGCTGGTCACACAAACACCCGCCGGCTGACTTAACCAGGCAAGCTCTCAGAAAAACCCCTACCTCATGTGGCAACACAAGCATGGACCTCCTAACTAACAAACAAAAATGGAAAACATGGGTCTAGGGGAACAAAAAACAAACTCACCTACTCCATACTAAACTTTAGACGAGCCCCCATTATGTTACGACTGGCTCAAAGCCACAACATTATTAAGAGACACCATATTGGTACGATGCAAAGGAATACATTTATTAACAAAAAGACAAAGGAAGAGCAACACAAACAAAGGCTGTGATCTTGTGCCAGGGAATTGAGAGAGAGAGGGCGGAAAAAAGGATCCACTTTTATAGGCCACGCCCACAGCTTCATGCAGGTGCCCTCAATCATCACTCAGGACTGCACCTTGAACACAGAGACATAACAGACACACAGGCAAAAGGATAGAAAAAGTACAATGACACGTAACAACTGGAAGATCACACTACCGCCTGCACTGAGGTGAAAAGGAGATCAAACCCAGCAGCACAGCGACCTCTGCTGGTCTGCAGGACGTACAGCAGCCGTTCAAACTGAGGCCAGACAGCTCTGAGTTCAATGTGTGTGTCAGGAAGCTCTCATTATTGATCAGATCTATCTATCGCTGCAGTAAACTGACATATTATAAATAACTAATGAGAGCAGAGCCTGTGTAGCAGAGTTAATGATGGACAGTCTGTCCTTCACTAACAGCTTCAACACCGACTAACACAAGAACGCTTTATTTTACTGGAATTAGCTGCTATTACTGGGAATCAGACAAAATATAGTTATCAAAGAACTGGCTAGCAAGTACAAAGTTAATAATAATAATAATAATAATAATAATAATAATAATAATCTTTATCATAGCACCTTTTCAATGTTTACAAAGTCAAACTGGTTACATTGAACATTTTAGGTAACACTAACTCAAATGTTTAAGTTAAAAAAAGTAGCTTTATTAGAATTTTTAAGTGACATTAACTTTCCTAATTTAGTGAGTTTTACTACATATTTTGTTTTCATCAGATTACTCTCCCAACCCAGTTGACAAAAAAACCTACACTGATAATGAATCATCAAAACTGTGATTATGTCTTTCTAGTGCATATCACATTATTCTCTTCTTCTCACCAATGTTTCTTTATTAGCATCCCCATTAGCACCATTAGCATTGTCTATTCTTTTACACACACTGTAGAAAATGGTAATATTATGGAAAATACTGTAAAATAACTTTTCTATAATTAGAATCCAGTTTTTAGCTTTAATCTTACATAACTTTTTAACATTTAATTCAGAAAATGTCCACACATAAATCCAATGCATATAAATTAAATACAGATGAACTCTGCTATAATACAAATAATCAGGCTTAAAGTTACAGCAGAGTACAGAGTGCTGTTATTATTTCATTTTTGTTATTTTAATCTGAATGTTAAAAGTTATAGAACTGTAATAAAAGTCATTATCTGTGAGATTACAGTAATTATTGCTGTTTACACTGATAACAACTGTATTTGGACAGTTTACCAATGCTTATTCACTGATAAACAACATTTATTCAACGTTTGTGTTGTGAAAAGTTCTATAATTATACAAGATATCTGTCAATTAAAAAGTCAAATCCATGTAAAATTACACAACAAATATTTTTTTTACTGATAGATGTCACTAATTTTACACAAGTTTAGAAATGTATTAACAATATTAAACTTGAATTTAACAGTTTAATCTATTAAATAAAATCAGCAAATGACCCAGGGGTTTTAGCCAACTATAGATGGAGGAATCATCGTTAACATGTACAAGTAACATGATTAGTTATATAGTTTTAGGACAGTCAGGTAATGAACAAATGAATTAAAGTTATTGTTGAAAAGTTCGAGCACATCTGATCATTTTACGCTTTTTATAGGAACATTCCCATCATATGTGTTTATTACTTTAATAGAATGTGCTCGGTTAGGATTTATCATGTGGAGGATGTAACAAGGAGAAAAACTAAAATGAATGAGAATGTTTTAGGCTCAATGTGCAGATACAGTGAAATACTGAACTAACGAAGGTCCACAAACTAAAAAACACAGCTGACTTTTAGCAGGTGGGCCGACGCAAATGATCATTTTCTATAGTCTATAAAATGGTTTTGTCTGAACAGCAGTAAAAGCAAAGCTGATCAATTTGATCTTACAGAAGGAAACCTGTACATATTCACAGTCATTCATTCAAACTCAAAAGTACACTAAGGTAGAGACTTAAAGGGAAGCTGAGTAAAAAACTAAATTAAATTAACAAAACATCTGAGGTACCAAGAAACACAAATATGAAGATAAAAAGTTTAGAAGAATTAGTAAAACAATAAAACCTTAAGGTAAATGAATTCAGTGCTACTGTACAGTGTAAAGACCGAACCCTGTTGTAGAATATATTTGGATGCTGGCGTACACAGTCGGCCTTAGTTTCCGGTAAGAAAACTGCAGCTACTCCAGAGAATTATGTTTTCCTTCTTTATTAATTCCTCACATGAACAACGTACAGGATGTGTCTTGTTGTGGTTTCCTGAATTACACAAAATAAATAAACAGCAAATATATTATTATTTTAACGAAATAAAGCAATAAGACTGTGAACTAAACAGATACACAGTACTATGCAGTAAAATAACATGAGGTCGGAATGACACTCCGTATAGCCGCACGTGGGCGCCCAGACCACATCATTACACTGTCATACACAACAACTGTACTAAACGTAAATGTCGTCGGGTGCAGAGCCCGTACGCAATATTAAACACACAATGAAATAGTATTATATGTCTAGAACATATATATTAGGGAATTCAAACATATTAACCAGACTCTGGTAATATATCTAATGTACAAAAACCGTGTGGCGTCAGTACTTTTACAACATAGCAGCTAACATAACAATAAACAGTGAATATAAACTTACTCTGCACTCACGCACAACGGACACAAGTTATTTGGCTCGCTCAACGCCCGTAACAGAGAAGGAGGTGTGCAGCACGCGACGGGTAACTTAGCTACCGTCGGGACGGTTCTGACGTTCCTTCGGGACCTCGGTCCTTCCGGTTGCGATCGCTCTTCCCGTACACGCAGGCGGAAGTTTGCACACCTGTCATTCACCATTAAGAGTTTTAGAAATTATGCTTAAAAATGACTTTTAAATAAAAAACGTTTTTGTTTTCGAGTCTCAGATAGCTGCAGTTTGAGCGAGAACCTCATGTTGAACCACATTCTCTGGTTTCACTCTCTCAGATGTTTGGCAAAGAATGAATAAATATAATGATGATTTATTTTGTACTTTATTGATTATTTGCTTTTCAGCAGAGCTTGGATAACGAGCTAAGTTAAAAACAGTAGAATAAAAAGTTAATCACAGGTACATAAATAACAGCATGAAGAGAGAAACACACATTAAAACAGACAGTAAAGCCAGTAAAAGCAACTGAAACAGGCACTTCATCTGCCGGATCTTCAGGTCTTAAATTCCAAAATAATTTGTGTTGTTTGTTACATCCTAAGCTATCTACCAGGTGCTGAACAGATTTTATACGGCTGGGCTTAAATGTGTTTGAATACGGTAGTGGAAGTGGCCAGAGACAAATACAAACATTATATTCCGTTTGCTCTTTGCAAACAATAAAGGACATGAAGTTGAGGTTTAGTATGAACTCATCATAAATAATTAAGGGAACAAATATAGTCCTGTTGCAGTACGAACCAAGTGTTTTATATATAAGTTTTGAATCATTCGGTATATTTTGGGGTGAGACCTCAGCCTTTACCGGGACGACTGAGTTTCAGTCGACAGCAGAGATGGTACATGAGTACGGGTCTGATGGTCTGATCTCGGAGCCCATAGATGAGCGAACTCAGACATCTGGGGAAGATATATATAAACACATAGAAAAAACTCTTGATGCGTCCAATTATTACTCTGTGTAGGGTTTTTGAGAGTGATATAACAATAGAGGTGTGCAGAGTTGATAAGAGAGTGAGACCCAGCTGCACCAGATGCAGCAGCAGTGTGTTACGAGCCTTACTGGCTGAAGCTTTGTCTGTGGAGGCTGACCTGGCTGCTATCATCACACCAATATAGGAAGAAATAACTGCAACACCAGCTGATAGAAACACAAAACCAGTGTATGCTTTGTCATAAATATCAGACATTGGGCTGAGAATCATATCTATGTCAGAGCAAACATCTGTCATCTGCAGACTCTCCAGGTCTGAAAATGGAAAATCTAACAGCAAAACAACTCGAATAAAGACATTCAGTACACTGAAGGCCCAAACCACAATGATAGCCACCCCTGTGTTTCTGATGGTGATGATGGTAGCGTGCCTCAGTGGGTAGCACACAGCTACATATCTCTCCAGAGACATCACCACCAGTGTGAGAGGAGAGATTTCATCTGTGAGAATGGATAACATAGTAAAAACACCACACACAGGATATGACAACATTATTTTAGAGGCAGCCAGTGTGTACAGAAACTGACTCAGTGCCAGTAATACAGTGTCTGAAAAAAGGAGGTTATACAGCAGAATGTAACGAGAGGTCCCCCTAAACACAGATTTACTCCTCAAGGTGAATAACATGGTCCCATTAATGAAGAGAAACACACAGCATGGCATTGCAATCAGCGTGGACAACAACACTTTTTCCAGTAATCCCTGATACTTCTGCTCAGAAGTAACGTTGAGAGTCTGAGACTGATTTACATACGACATCTTAGATCAACAGGTTAATATTGATTTTCTTAAATGGTTCTCTATCTGAAGAACAAAAGCACAACAACGTTAGTCTAGTTTGTATCTTCAGAGTACAGATTCCTGATATGTTCACATGTAAACCTTAAAATCATCCACATACATTTTCCCTGTGCAGACACTCAGCAGGGTACAGGCCTGGCTTGTTTCTGTGTAAGCAGAGTTGGTCTGCAGGGTTTGTCTGCCCTCACACATTGTTTATGAGCTCTGTCATCACACCTACTACACGTGACACCATCAGCATGTCATGCCACATCTACATGGTTAAGAATTACCCAACTAGGAGTAATTATGAGGAAGTTACTCAGTAATAGGGATGAATAGAATACTAGATTATTTGACTGAAGTTAAAGTGAGGTTATTTGTGTCAATATGCTTAGGTAAAAGTAAAAAGTAGGTCATTTAAAATGTACTCGGAGTAAACATTACTGTTTGTGCAATATAAGGGTACAGAACTTAAAAAACCTGCCATCTCTTATGGAATTAACAGTAGAATAAAACATCACCAAGGCAGACAACATGTAAACAATAAGAACTCAATAATCAGCCACAAACAAGCAAAAAGAGAGCTGAAATGATCGTGTAACCCACCTAGAAGGTAAGTGCACACTGGACCAGTTTAATCTAGATTCGTAGAGAGGGGTAATGAATTGAATTGGACACCACCATGAGTAACCAGGACACAAAGTTAGGTTGTAGCAAAATTATTGTATTAACATAGATTTATAACATTTCACAACATCAGACCAGTCTTTTACTCAATTAAATGTCTTTTGAATCTGGTGCACCAAAAATAAAATAAAATATTTCCCCCCAAAAATAATAAAAAGTTTAGTTCAGTTCAATCGTCTCCTGAAATCCTTTTCCATAGTCCTACCACGCTGATAGCAGGGCAGATGAATAACTCATACGAATGCTCAATCCAGGTGCTCAACGCGGGTGGCTCACCACCCCCCTCGTTAGGGAGAGAATCAATCCAGTCCAGGATCCAGAATCCAGGGGTATCCAAAAACATAGCCTGTGTAGCATGACACGGCTTATAAACATATGCAATCTATTTCACTTTTCTGACTGTACAGCTTTAACTTTATCAAAATCAATTTCAATACAACCCTTAATACTTAATCCATGAATTTAGGATAATTGTTGTACTGCAATGTTAACATATGAAATGTCAACTTTTACATTTTTACAACCAAATTATTTAATGGCCATAAGCAAATGTTAAATAACTGAAATTGTAGATGGATTATGAAAACCACTTACAGTTTAACATGAAATGCTCACTGCATTTGGATAATGCATGTAGGAATATAGATTCCTGATCATAATACTGACACCTTGTGGTCGTGCACACCAACAAGAGAGTAATTCACACAGTTTCATAGTCTATGGAGTTAGCTGGGTAATTGCTTACTTTAACCACAAACGTAAGTAACACATATATTCTTACACAAATGTTCTTATTTGACTCTACCATGAAAGAAAATACTAAACAAAACTTTACACTTATTGCTCAGTGGCTAAACACTTGGCTAATGTGGCCTTGTGCAGCACGTGTATTATATTCAAAACTCACAGAGAAAATAAAAGCATAAACAATGAACAGATGTCATCAAGGTTTCCCCAACTCTTGCCTGTTGAACAGTTTTTTCCTTTTTTTTCTTTCTACATGAGGTTTAATTAACAACGTTTCACTCGCGATTTCAGCTCGTTTTCTCATTCATTCGCTCTGCTCCGTTGTCTCCCTTTGCACACGTTAGACTGCATCTCTCTAACCTGAGTGAAAAGACGGGACTTGGTTCGCTTTTACACCAATTGGAGTTAATCATTCCTCCTGAACCAATGAACGTATTTGTTATGAAGTTTTTTGTTTACTGACTGAAAATTAGACATCTGAATTAAGATGAAATAATGACTTAAATATGCAATAACGAATGTGGAAATAAAAGACAAGAAAATACATAAATTGTCAGTGAAAGGAAATAATTTGTGTTTTAGTAACACCTAATTTCCCAGTGGGTTACAATCGTTATCACTGGTCTGTCCTGTTTGACTTCCTGCCAATAGGCTGAGATGATTGATCTCTGTGGAGCATCACAGGTGACCACTCCCGAACCAAATGTACCATAAATAGGTAGATATTGAAAATGATTAGAACTATGAGACGTTACACATGTCGTCTCAAGTTTGTCTCACAAGTTGAAATAATTTAAAATATCAAATGCCTATATGGAGCCTGCTGCTATCAGCCAGGCAAACAAATTGGCTGACTGTAAACAAGACAATTGGGGGTATCCTATCTGGAGCTGTCAATTCTTATTTTTAATTCAAGCAAATCTTACATATAGTGATACATTAGACAACAATGTTCTTCTACTTTAGTAAAATAAGCAATATGATTGTGTTGAGTGTAGAAATATTCTGTTACATGACTTCAAAAGTAAGTACTTAACTTACTTTAGAAGAACAAATGTGTTAGGGTTAACAGTTTTACTTAAAGTACTATGCATACTTCCCTATTGATTATTTCAGAATAAATTATTGGGTTATTATTACTAATGCATTAATTTGATATGATCTGACAATAAAGTCACGTCATCATAATTGACTTCCTGCTAAATAAATGTTAAAAAGTTTTCAGAATATATTTCTGGACTATAATTATTGATGCATTATTGTGTTCATCACTTTAAAGTTTCAACTAGTAAAGATGGAGCTCATTGTTTGACTTTATGTACTGCTGTATATTTTGTGATTTTCCCTAAGTGGATCTGGTCTCATCTCATCTTAACCAATAATATTACACAATTATTTATCGTTTACAGGATCTGTAAAGTGACTACCGTTATCAGATAATTATAGTTAAGTTAAAACTACAATATTTTTGGAAAGTATTTCACAATTCTATTGAAATACAGAACTTCAACTTAAGGCTAGATGGACAAAAAACATGTAATAGTATATGTGAGGAGCAGGGATGAAGCAAAAATACTTTTTAATACATATCAAATAATATTGTTTTATTTTATTTCATTATTATGCCACAAACATTTACTGCTCCCATATTCCCTGAAATTGAAGGCTCTGAGGAAATTGCCATAGATACATAAGTGCCGCAATTACATCACACATTTAAGGGTAAAATTCACAGTGAAATAATTGTGATTAACAGCTTTTCTTGCTTAGATGATAATTTCGACCAGCTTCTATAAGTGGATTTTAAGAAATACTGACAACTTAGAGTTGAACATAAAAAACAAATGAAATAAATACAAATACAACAAATAAATCTTTTGGAAAATTCAGTTTGTTTCCTGTTATGAATGCTGGATATGCTGACTTATGAAGTCCATTCTGTGGACAGCGTGAGTTCAAAAAACATATAGAGAGGTTAACTCACTCCATGTATCTTAGGCCTCAGCTTTGGCTGGGGTGAGAGTGTCAGTCGACAGCATAAAAAGTACACAAGTATGGGTCTGATAGTCTGGTCTCTGAGTCCATAGATGAGAGAACTCAGACATCTGGGCAGAATGAAAAAACACACATACAAAAAATTCTGCATACGCGCAAATACTACCCTTGAAACAGTTTTTGAGATAACTAAAAGCAATGGGTTGTTAATGGTTGAGGAGAGACTGAGGCCCAGCTGTACCAGATGCAGCAGCAGTGTGTTACGAGCCTTACGGGCTGAAGCTTTGTCTGTGGAGGCTGACCTGGCTGCTATCACCACACCAATATAGGAAGAAATAACTGCAACACCAGCTGAAGTAAACAGAAAACAAGTATATGCTTTGTCATAAATATCAGACATTGGGGTAAGAAACATGAGAAGTGAGCTACAAAGTTCTTTCATCTGCAGACTGTCCAGGTCTGAAAATGGAAAATCCAACAGCAAAAGGACTCGAATTAGAACATTTAGTGAACAAAAGGTCCAAACCACAATGATAGCCACTGCTGTGTTTCTGATGGTGATGATGGTAGCGTGCCTCAGTGGGTAGCACACAGCTACATATCTCTCCAGAGACATCACCACCAGTGTGAGAGGGGAGACTTCATTTGTGAGGCTGGCAAGCATGACAAGAAGACCACAGACAGGATATGTTAACATTATTCTACAAGAAGACAGCAGGTACAGTATCTGACTCAGTGACATCTGGATAGTGTCTGAGAAAAGGAGGTTATACAGAAGAATGTAACGAGAGGTCTCACAAAACACAAGTTTACTCCTCAAGGTGAATAACATGGTCCCATTAATGAAGAGAAACACACAGCATGGTAGTGTAGTCAGAGTGGAAAGCATCACTCTTTCCAGGAACCCCAGTCCAATTGTTACGTTAGTCTGAGACTGAGTCGACATCTCAGAGAAGCCTTTAAGACATAAGAAAGATTAACCTGTTGATGTTAACAGGACACAGAAGTCCATTAAATCACTTTCTGTTTGTCATCTGAGAACAATAAAAACAAATGGAAAAACACATTTCAAGCACATGTGCCAAGTCAGATCCAAAAAATACCAAATCCCCCACATGCATTTTCCCTGTGCAGATAATGAGCAGGTTAGAGTTTGTGCTTGTTGTCCATGTGAGCAGAGCTGGTCTGCCTGCCCTCTCTTCTTGTACACCAGGTTTGCTGTACGCCCTGTTCACGTGACACCATCAGAACAGCTCAGTAACTGGTGATGTAATCTGTCTTCTATTATTTCCCAACACCCTGGTCAATGTGATCATGTCTCACTCAGTGTGAGACTCAAGACTTACAAGGTGCTAAAAAAAACTGTACCGTATAATACAATAATAATTTTGGCAAATACTGAGGAGTAAATCAAAATAAAAAATGTATAAGTGGCTGTTAAAAATACAGCACATTCTATAATAAAATTAAAACATAATACTGGTGAACAGCTGTGATAGAATTAATAAACTGTATGTAGACAGGTTGTGCTTAAAGAGCACTGGATATGGACAGGTGTGAACAGGAAGTTCAAAAGGTATATATTGCGATAATTTAACCTGTAAAAAAACAAAGTAAAGTGACAAATTAATGAGCTTTACAGGTTAAGAGCTCAACAGTCTTATGAGCTGCTGGATAAAGCTGTCCTGGAGCCTAGTGTAGTGGGACCACATGGTAGCACTGGCAGCAGGCAGAACTAGTTTTGGCTGTGGTGATTGGTGTCTTTGGTGATCCTGTTTGCCTTATTCCTCCACTACTGGGTGTAGAGGTCCTCCATGGAAAGCAGCTTTAATCCGGGTGATGTACTGAGCAGTTTTCACCACCCTCTGTAGAGCCTTACGGTTGAAGGTGGTGCAAAGTCGGTGATGAAACCAAGTCAGGATACTCTCAATGGTACATCTGTAGAAGTTGCAAAGTGTCCTGGAGTCCGTGTTGAACATCCTCAGACTGCAGAGGAAGAAGAGCCATTCTTTGTGATGGTGTCAGTGTGAGTCCAGCTCAGGTCCTTGCAGAGGTGAACCCTGAGGAACCTGAACTCTCTCCATCGTAGTTCCATTGGTGGTGATGGGGGCACGTCCTTCTCCCTGTTGCTTCCTGTAGTCCATAATCAGCTCCTTTGTTATGCTCACAAAAGTGCTCTGACCTCTTTTCTGTAGGCCGTCTCATCTTCGCTGGTAATCAGGTAAATGATCATCGTGTCATCAAGAACCTTGATCATGGTGTTGGAGATTTGGGCGGTGCTGAATCCCACATCTCCGAGCTTGATGATGAGTTTAGAGGGCACAATGGTACTGACTGTTGAACTATAGTTAATGAGCCACATGTGACAGTGTGTTCCTTTGGTGAAAGTAGGAGTAGATGAGGACCATGGCATTGTCTGTTGACCGAATTTGATCTGAAAACTGAAGCAAACTGAAGTTGGTCCAGGAAGGAGGTAATTTGACCAACCACTTTAAGGACTTCATGATGGTGCTTCATGACTTGGCCTTTGTTTAGATTTGCAACCTTCTATCTTCATTTCCCTCTGTGCCAAAGGCTTGGTAGGTAATCTCGACTAGTTCCCTTTACCTCAACAAGAATGGTTCACAGGACAGTTTCAGTGACTGAGTGAGGAGCGGCTGAGTAATTAAACTTAAGGAGATTTGTTGATCTGATGGTTGGTTCTGAAGCTTAAGCTCCCTGACTCATAAAGCTTCCTCTAGCCTAGTTTCCCCTGCGTTACAATATATACCTCTATCTGCCAGGATCTCTTTAAATAATGTTATAAGGAGTTCGGTCTAGACCTGCTCTATTTGAAAAGTGTCCTGAGATAACTTCTGTTATGAATTGGTGATATACAAGTAAAACTGAATTGAACTGAATTGAATTGAATCTCAAAGTGTTTTCCCTGTCTGGGTCTGAACCATCTCAGGGCTAATTTTTAATTGTATTTAACATTTTTCCAACCAGGAGAGGTCCTATTGACAATTGAAAAATCTTTTTCAAGGGAGTCTTGGCCAAGACAGGCATCAGCGCAAAATAAGAATTAAGGAATGCTTAGACCTCCAAACGTGACGGCAGGTCCAGGTGTATGCATTGGGTAGTCAGACACTTAAAATGGATGGCCCAGCATTTCTTCACCCGGATGCCTAGTTTGATGGTGAAGATGAAGATGGGTGGCGAGAGAGAGCTGTCTACACCCTCACAAGTGACAGGTCTTCCCACATTTGGGACTCTGCAGGGTTCGGGAGAGCATTTCTTTACACCAAACAAATGTTATAACATTTAGCAGTTTTCCTCAACTCCTGGTCCTCAATAGGTTGTGGAATGGCTGCTGGTAAGCAAGCTGCCACCCACTGATCTTTTGGTTCAGATAAGAAAGATGGTCCAGCACTCTACTGATTAGGTTGAGCAAGTTCCTGTAGAGTTCTACCATACGTAATGCCATGAACGGGATTTTCTTGCAGTACCTCCAGTCAGACTTTAGCACTAATTGTGTTTAGACAGGTATAGACAAGTGGGTCATATTGGTTGCAGGATCTGTAAAATGCTGCGCATAATGGGGGTATTGGTGCTAAAGGAAGAGCACCCTTTGTAGCCCAGGGTATCTGGGATGCAGTTCCATCTTAGTCCAGTCCAGTGTCAGCTCCTGACAAAGAGAGCAATCATTAGATGCTATGCTACTTGATCTGGTTTCTTGTGGGAAATAACCTCTGTGACAATGCTAACCCACTGGCAGATCTCAAATCATACCTTGGCCAGGATATTGCAGAATGTGTCTAAAGGAGCCTGAGCTTCAATAGTTGTTGACATAAAATGTCTTCTTTACAATATATTTAAGACCTCCGGACAACTGTCTGGATTCTTCCTGGCATGTTATTGTAGAGTGTGAAGGGCCACACCAGGTGCCGAATGGCAGTATTTGCTATTCATAGAATGTGGGTTCTGCCTCCTTTTTAAACTCTCACCATTAGACCGTAGCAACACAGAGTCAGGAGGCAGCAAACAAATTTTATGTAAAATGGACTGTCAAAACTGCTCCACCAAATGAAAATGTGCTCACATACTGCAAAGACTGTAGGGCAAATACTTGAGGGGCTCTATGAAGTAGCCTACTATAATAACACGTAAAGGTTGGCCAACAACATTTGTCTGTCATCCCAACCATGTCCTGAACAAAGAATACAAATTGTTATCATCAAACTGGAGATACAAGGTTTCCAAGATTTAACAACGTTTGACTGAATTACTTTAATGTTGCTGCTGGTAAAGATGGAACTTATTTGAATCATTTTGCATATTGTTGTGCAGTTTGTGAATTTCCCTCTGAAAATCAGGTCTTATTTTATAATATTTAATAATAATTGATTTGTTTGTTTTATTTTAGATCATTAATCATAATCTGTAAAGTAACTTGTAAATAAAATTATCCGATAAATGTAGTGAAGTTAAAACTACAATATTTCCTTATGAAATGTAGTGGAGTAGAAGTATAAAGTAGCATAACATTGAAATGTACCTCAAATTTTTGTTTAAGTACAGAACTTGAGTTAATGTACAACCTGAGCTTAAATGGACACAAAACATGTAATAGTGTATTTTAGTACCAGAAATAAAGCAAAATACTTCATATGCATCTAATATCATTTTACTTTATTTCATTATTATGCCACAAACATATAGTTACTGCTCTCATATTTACTGCAATTGAAAGGTTTGAGGAAATTGCCCTAGATACATAAGAGCTGCAACTACATCACACATTTAACGATAAGATTCACGGTGAAATATTTGTGATTAACAGCTTTTCTTGGTTGAATGATAATTTTGAACAGATTCTATAAGTGTATTTCAAGAAATACTTACAAATTAATAGTTGAACCTAAAAAACAACAAGCATTAGTTCAAAAAACATATAGAGAGGTTAATTCACTCCATTTATCTTAGGCCTCAGCCTTGACTGGGGTGAGAGTGTCAGTCGACAGCATAAATAGTACACAAGTATGGGTCTGATAGTCTGGTCTCTGAGTCCATAGATCAGAGAACTCAGACATCTGGGCAGAATGAAAAAAACTACATACAAAAAATTCTGCATACGTACACGTACTAATCTCGAAACAGTATTCGAGATTAGTAAAATTAATTGGGTGTAAATGGTTGAAGAGAAAGTGAGACCCAGCTGTACCAGATGCAGCAGCAGTGTGTTACGAGCCTTACGGGCTGAAGCTTTGTCTGTGGAGGCTGACCTGGCTGCTATCACCACACCAATATAGGAAGAAATAACTGCAACACCAGCTGAAGTAAACAGAAAACAAGTATATGCTTTGTCATAAATATCAGACATTGGGCCAATAGACATGACTAGTGAATTACAAAGATCTGTCATCTGCAGACTGCCCAGGTCTGAAAATGGAAAATCCAACAGCAAAAGAACTCGAGTGAGGACATTTAGTGAACAAAAGGCCCAAACCACAATGATAGCCACTGCTGTGTTTCTGATGGTGATGATGGTAGCGTGCCTCAGTGGGTAGCACACAGCTACATATCTCTCCAGAGACATCACCACCAGTGTGAGAGGGGAGACTTCATTTGTGAGCCCGGCAAACATGACAAGAAGACCACAGACAGGATACGTCAGTCTTAATCTCCAGGCAGACAGCAGGTACAGTAACTGACTCAGTGACATCTGGATTGTGTCTGAGAAAAGGAGGTTATACAGAAGAATGTAACGAGAGGTCTCACAAAACACAAGTTTACTCCTCAAGGTGAATAACATGGTCCCATTAATGAAGAGAAACACACAGCATGGTAGTGTAGTCAGAGTGGAAAGCATCACTCTTTCCAGGAACCCCAGTCCAATTGTTACGTTAGTCTGAGACTGAGTCGACATCTCAGAGAAGCCTTTAAGACATAAGAAAGATTAACCTGTTGATGTTAACAGGACACAGAAGTCCATTAAATCACTTTCTGTTTGTCATCTGAGAACAATAAAAACAAATGGAAAAACACATTTCAAGCACATGTGCCAAGTCAGATCCAAAAAATACCAAATCCCCCACATGCATTTTCCCTGTGCAGATAATGAGCAGGTTAGAGTTTGTGCTTGTTGTCCATGTGAGCAGAGCTGGTCTGCCTGCCCTCTCTTCTTGTACACCAGGTTTGCTGTACGCCCTGTTCACGTGACACCATCAGAACAGCTCAGTAACTGGTGATGTAATCTGTCTTCTATTATTTCCCAACACCCTGGTCAATGTGATCATGTCTCACTCAGTGTGAGACTTACAAGGTGCTTCAAAGATAAAACACTGTACCGTATAATACAATGATAATTTTGGCAAATACTGAGAAATAAATCAAAATAAAGATTTCCAGCTTCTGTCTTTATTTCTCTCTGTGCTGAAGGCTTGGTAGGTAATCTCGAATAGTTCCCTTTACCTCAACACGAATGATTCACAGGACAGTTTCAGTGACTGAGTGAGGACCAGCTGGGTAATTAAACTTAAGGAGATTTGTTGATCTGATGGTTGGTTCTGAAGCTTAAGCTCCATGACTCATAAAGCTTTCTCTAGCCTAGTTTCCCCTGCGTTAAAATGTATACCTCTATCTGCCAGGATCTCAAAGTGTTTTCCCTGTCTGGGTCTGAACCATCTCAGGGCTAATTTTTTAATTGTATTTAACATTTTTCTAACCAGGAGAGGTCCTATTGACAATGGAAAAATCTTTTTCAAGGGAGTCTTGGCCAAGACAGGCATCAGCGCAAAATAAGAGTTAAAGAATGCTTAGACCTCCAAACGTGACGGCAGGTCCAGGTGTATGCATTGGGTAGTCAGGTCTTCCCACATTTGGGACTCTGCAGGGTTCGGGAGAGCATTTCTTTACACCAAACAAATGTTATAACATTTAGCAGTTTTCCTCAACTCCTGGTCCTCAATAGGTTGTGGAATGGCTGCTGGTAAGCAAGCTGCCACCCACTGATCTTTTGGTTCAGATAAGAAAGATGGTCCAGCACTCTACTGATTAGGTTGAGCAAGTTCCTGTAGAGTTCTACCATACGTAATGCCATGAACGGGATTTTCTTGCAGTACCTCCAGTCAGTGCCTATTATCAGGTCTAGGACCTCCGCAATTTGTATTCCAACAAATACTTCATGCCAGCAGAATTCAGACTTGAGTAAGACAAGTACAGTGGTGGAATCACTCCAGGAAATTACTCTCTATATTGGCAGGGTTAGCTGGTCAGCAAGACCAACCTGACATTTTGGTGCAACCTTGGACCTCGCCATGACAGAGGAAACATGGGTGTTGCCTGCTTCATCCCCTATATGGCTGGATGTCTTGGTTCATCCAATCCCTCTGGGTGTGCCACACATCCTGGACTAAGACTTTAGCCCTAATTGTGTTTAGACAGGTATAGACAAGTGGGTCATATTGGTTGCAGGATCTGTAAAATGCTGCGCATAATGGGGGTATTGGTGCTAAAGGAAGAGCACCCTTTGTAGCCCAGGGTATCTGGGATGCAGTTCCATCTTAGTCCAGTCCAGTGTCAGCTCCTGACAAAGAGAGCAATCATTAGATGCTATGCTACTTGACCTGGTTTCTTGTGGGAAATAACCTCTGTGACAATGCTAACCCACTGGCAGATCTCAAAGCATACCTTGGCCAGGATATTGCAGAATGTGTCTAAAGGAGCCTGAGCTTCAATAGTTGTTGACATAAAATGTCTTCTTTACAATATATTTAAGACCTCCGGACAACAATTCCAGAATGGCACCGGCGACAATGGCAGCCTGTTATGGCAGCTCCTATCATTGTTGTAGTTTTAGTGTGCTTTCAGTCTTTTTAGCCTGTGTTTTTTTTTTTAACTGTTTTCATACTTTCTTACTACTTTGTTCACGTCGCCTAAATACTTTTTCGGCGATTTGAGCACTTTTTATTTTTTGTTTACGCTGGTCTCCATGGCGACGGGGAGTCGCATTGTTTACACCCGCAACCAGATGATCGCCCTGAGGTACCCTAGCATCCTGACTGGAGAGAGACCCTCCATACTTGAGAAGCTGAGGAGGAGACGGCGAGGCTGCAGAGCGGGGGTTAAACGGAGGATGATGAAGAGGAGGTTTAAACTCTACATCCCTGCAATCATCGAGCAGATACCGGACTCCAACGTCACCCCCGGCTCTCCTCATCCCCGCTGGCGCGGGGTGAATCACTGCAACTTGCAGCCTCTGTGTTGGGCTCCCCGCACAGCCAACGCCGATTCCTGCCAGGATTGGCCTGGTAAATGCTAGATCACTAGCGAACAAGACTTTTGTCTTAAAGGATTTCTTCACGTCCCGAGGATTGGATTTCCTCTGTGTGACTGAGACATGGCTGAGTGTTAGTGAATCCAGCGCTTTCACTGAACTTTTACCCTATGATTGCTGCTACTTTAACTCCCCGCGGACTTCGGGCCAAGGAGGAGGAATAGCGACTGTCTATAAGAGTCATTATAAATGTAAGCAGCTATTGCTGTCATCCTCTTTCACCAGCTTTGAACTGAGCTTATTTGAGCTTGGTCGCTCCCACACAGTGTTGTGTGCTGTGGTCTATCGGCCTCCCAAGTACAATAAGGACTTTTAAATGACTTCTCTGATTTCCTGGCTGAAATCATGCCTAAATATCACCGTGTTCTTATTGTTGGGGATTTTAATGTTCGTGTGTTGTCCTGATAAGCCAATGGCAAAGCGTTTTTTAAACCTCATTGATTCTTTTAATCTTGTGCAATCTGTGTCTGGACCCACACAAGAACACGGACACACACTTGATCTTGTCTTATCATATGGTTGGCCCGTTTTTAACCTAGAGATATGTGACGCAGTGTTTTCTGACCATATACCTGTATTATTTGAGGCTGCTCTTGCCTGTCATACAGTTAAACCTCGCGCTGCTGCTCGGCGCTGTCGCATTATTAACCCTTCCACTGCTGTTCAGTTCTCGGTTGCTTTCAGTCAGAATTCCATCTTTCCTGAGTCTGTGTGCAATACAGAGGAGCTTAGCTCATGGTTTCACTCCACCTGCCAAACTGTTTTAGACACTGTGGCTCCATTAAAATCCAGGCAGCCTAAAACAAAATCTGAGCCCTGGCTAAATGACATGACTCATGCAGTCAGACGTGAGTGCCATAGAGCTGAGCGCAAGTGGAAGGACAAACTGCAGGTGTCTTTTCAAATGTTAAGGGACTGCTGTCGTCATTATCAGAAAACTGTTTGATGCTAAAAGAAAACATTTCTCGGATATTATCCTGTCAAACTGTCACAAGCCTCGTGTCTTGTTTAACACTATTGACTCACTTCTGAATGCCCCACAGACTGCCTGTATGGAGGCGTCCCCTGCTGTGTGTGAAAACTTCCCTCACTTTTTTATTGATAAGGTCACTTCAACTAGGGCTCAAATCTCACCTTCAGCCTATGACCCCTCAATCTCTGTCCCCTGCTCTGCTGTCTTTGACCATTTTGAGCCTGTGACTTTTTCCTTTTACAGGAGGTTGTTGGTCTGAAGCCCTCAGGTTCTCCAAATGATGCTGTCCCCCCTCAACTATTTAAGGAGGTTTTCCCCACTGTAGGACCATCTGTTATTGCAGTCATAAATAGCAGTCTGACCTCAGGTGTGGTCCGTGAAAATTTTAAACATGCAATAGTACAACCTCTGATTAAAAAACTTGCTCTAGATCCTGCAGTTCTTGCTAATTTCAGGCCTATCTCCAAACTGCCTTTCCTTTCAAAAATCCAGGAGAAGATTGTGCACAGTCAATTAATGGCCTTTCTGGAAGAACATAATATTCTAGAGGTTTTCCAATCCGGTTTTAAAACCCTGCACAGCACCGAATCAGCTCTCTTAAGAGTTTTTAATGATATCTTTTTAGCAACTGACTCTGGTGACTGTGTTATCCTTGTGCTTTTAGATTTAACTGCTGCATTTGACACAGTGGATCATGAAATACTGATCTCACGTTTGAAGCAGTGGGTGGGCATCAGGGGCATAGCACTGGAGTGGTTCAGGTCGTACTTGGCTGATCGAACTTTCTGTGTCAGCCTAGGAGACCCTGTATCCTCCTCTGCTTCTCTCTCGTGTGGGGTCCCACAGGGCTCAGTTCTTGGCCCTCTCCTTTTCTCTCTCTATTTGCTCCCACTTGGTTCCATACTTAGGAAGCACGGCTTTTCATTCCACTTTTATGCAGACGACAGTCAGATTTATGTGCCTCTTAAAAAGAAAAATGAATACTCTGTCAGACTGCTACTTAAGTGCCTCGACGACATAAAGGCCTGGATGGCTCTGAACTTTTTAAATTTCAATGATAAAAAGACGTGGTACCCCTAGGCCCCTGTAGATCTGGGTTCCTTGGCCCAGTATAATAAACCTAGCATCACAAACCTAGGGGTTAAAGTGGACCCTGAGCTTAAGTTGGACAGTCAGATCAAGGCTGTTGTCAAATCAAGCTTTTTCCATTTGAGGCAGCTGGCCAAAATAAAGCCAATTCTATCAAGGCAGCACTTTGAGACGGTAATCCACGCCTTTGTTACCACTCGCCTGGATTACTGTGATGCACTGTATGTGGGGGTTAGTGGGTCCTCCATTGCCCGTCTCCAGATGGTACAGAATGCTGCTGCACGTCTTTTAACTGGCACACGTAAACATGAGCACATTTCCCCCATTTTAGGCTCACTCCACTGGCTGCCTATTCAATTTAGGATCCATTTTAAAATTATTTTATTTGCTTTTAAATCCCTGAATGGTCTTGCCCCATCCTACCTCTCTGAGCTTCCACACCCCTATATACCCGTCCGCTCTCTCAGGTCAGATGATCAGCTGCTCCTGAGTGTGCCTAAAACTAAGCGGAAGCTCAGTGGGGACTGTGCCTTTGCTGTGTCTGCTCCTAAATTATGGAATGATCTGCCTCTGTGCGTTAAACAGGCCTCTTCTCTGTCTGTTTTTAAAAACCGTCTTAAAACCCATCTCTTCTCTGTGGCCTTTGACACCTAGTAAGATGTCGACTTTATTTACTTGATTTAATTTCTTATTTTGATTGCTTTGTATTGCATGGCTATTATTTTTATTCATGTTTTATGTCTTTTCATTTTATTGTTGTATTTTATATGTAATTTTGTGCCTCATGTGAGCTGTTATGTC